ATAATTTTTAATATTTCTCTTTTTGTCAAGAGTAAAAAATGTTATTTCCTGTCCTCCCAAACAAATTTAGGCTGCTGAATATCTTAAATGTTTTTTTCTCTAAGTTAATTGTGCAATTTTTACTTATTTTCAAAACCATTATCATTCAAAGTTAGCAACCATAGAGAAAATTTTCTTTGAAATTTCTAGTATATTTACTTATAATAAATAATCCCTCTTTCAAAAGTCTAAGAAACTTTTTCTTCAACATAAATGAATTTCCTCTAGTTGTTGTGGGGTTTTGAGGAAGGAAGAGATAAGGTAACAGTTCTAATAAAGTACCACAGGCTGCATATGAGTTCAATAGTATAAATCTGGAACAAATTTAAGATATAATTTCAGAATTACTTATGAAATTAACAAAATCAACAATTCCTTTCTTTTATTCCTCCCTTCCTCTGTGTTCTTGCATAGACTGTAGTAAAAAAGTAAAAGCAATTTTCACAGAGAGGTATGATTTGTTCAACATTTAATGCTTAGCAAAACTATTTGGCTGCTAATAACAGAATTTTGTAATTTCTTTGATTCCTCCTAATATACACATACATTTCAAGACTTAAAAATAGGTAAAATTTTTTACTGGGGAAAAAATCCAAATAATTCTGTTAAGACTACCTGTAAAATGTAACATTTTATGCTCACCAATCTGATACCTGTCACAGGTGATATGTCTGTGTAGCTCTAAATTGAATCAAGGGATAAAAGAAGAACAAGAACCAGGGGATGGAATTTCCCACACATCTGCAACTTCTGGTTAAAGGCAAGTTTTAGTTTGAGAACTAAGAAAACACTTCCACAGTGGGGAGGCTGGAGTTACATTTATTAAAATGAAGAACATATTTAAGGATTTCAAATTTCTAAATGAGAAGACATGTATAAAGTTAAAACTAAAGTGGAAGTTAGGGCTAGAGGATTGAAAAAATCACTGCAATGTTATTTTTAAATCTGTATAATATGTAACTGACAAATCATCTTTAAGACAAAGGTCTCTTTGACACCATTTGAAAAAATTTCAGTGTCACTCTTGTCACTGATGTTTTTTGGGGGAAGAATAATAATTATTAATATAAATGTTATTTATGTTAGTATGTAATGGGTTTATGAATTTATTTTAAAACAGGTGTTTTAAGATGTTTAATTTCTAATATGATTAAATATTGGTATCTATGCCCCACATTAATAAAACTTTTGGAGGCATCCAGTAACATTTAACAATGTAAAAGTATCCTGAGATGAACAAATTTGGAGACCACATTCTTAGACTGTGTCTTCTTGACCTCCATCAAGGGTTCTTCTTTGACCAACACCTTAAATTTTGATGTTCTCTAGAATAGCATCCCAAACCCACTAATTTTCTTACCATAAACTACAATTTCTTAATCTTGGTACAATTGACATTTTGGGTCAGATAATTCCTTGTTATGAAGACTGTTCTGTGCTTAGAAGCATCCTGGCCATTAACTGCTGGATGACAGAAGTATCCTCTTACCCAGATTGTGACAACCAAAAATGTCTCTACACATTGTCAAATAAAATTGCCCCCAGTTGCAAACCACTACCTTAAGTACTCTTTCTGGAAATTTCGCCTTATATTAACATTTTAATTCCACTTATGAGAGAAAATCCCAATTACTGAATGCTTACTTGGTGCCAGCATAAATCTAAGCACCTGATGAGAATTAAATCATTTAAGCCTCACCACTCTATAAAATAAACAAATCATTACCTCCATTTATAGATTAACAGAGAGATGGAGTGATTTGCCCTGGGTTACACAGCAAGTGAGTAGTGATGACAACTCCAGTCCTGACTGTTCCCGAGCTTTAGACTACTGTGAATACTACTTCTGCTAGGCATCCCAGGTGACATTCACTCAAGATGCCCCCCAAATAAACTCAAAAGTCTTCTCTCTATAAGATCAGCTATTTCTGTATTTCTTAAGTCAGTTAAAGGCACAACTTTTATGATTAACCTCTCTGTGCCTCAGCTTAACTAGTAATTGGATGTCATTCTAGACTCTGCTTAGATTTTCTTCTGAATCTAAACATTCATTGAGTTCTAACAATTTTATCGTCTAATTATTAATCAAATATGCCTTTTCCCTCTATCTTCCAATATTCCTGCCCTAATTAGGGCCCTAATCTTTCCCTGGCACCGTTGTTGTAGCCAGTTCCCATTTGGTGTCCTTATGTCTAGCCCTCAAAATTATCTTCTACATTGCTGCCAGAATGATCTACCAAAAATGCAAATCTGCCCATGTCACTTTATGGCTTAAAGCTCTTTATCGGCTGCCTGCTAACTAAGAATGAAGTCCAGGTTCCTTAGCATGGCCCCTAGCCCCTCGAATATGTGGCCCTTTCCAACCACAGTCTCATCTTTTGACACCCTCCAAATCATACTTTACTCTTCAGTAGTATTCCACTGTTTAATATTACGTGAGCATAATATGCGACTTCATTCCTTTTATCCACTGTCATCTTCTGGGAAGCAATCTTGATTCTACACCTTGTGTGTGTCTTTCATAGCACTTATCCCAGCTTGTGAAAATGATTTCTATAACTGTCCCATGGAGGTTTGTAAAAAAAGCCATTGATGGTAGGTGCCTTGCTGAACCCAAAGCTCTCATCTTTCCATCTCCAGGGTCTAGTATGTCACTGGACAAAGCAGTCTTCAGAAAGTGGTTTTAGAAGCATTGAAGTAAAAGAACACATAGGAAGAGAACTTGTTTGGATGGGGCTGGGAGCTGTGGAATGAGAAGAATCAGGAAAACCAAAGTCATTACTGAGCTGAATCTCAAAGGAAGAGGAGAAAATCCAGACGAAGGTGATTAAAATACAGGCCAGATAAAAGAGGAGAGTACAAGGGAAGGGGCTGTCTTTGAAAGCCACAAGACATAGCTTGAATACAAAAGGACATATTTTATAACAAGTAAGTTTATTGTCTTAGGAGATAATACTAGTAAGAATCTCAGGTTATAGACCCATTATTTCAGAAAACAGTGTAAAATGATTACCAGATTTCTCTGAATAACACATTTACACGAGGACAATACATTTAGCTCAAAAGCATTATTCAAGGTATTAGAACAATTTCCTAAATGTATATATTGAAATTCATTTTCAATATTCTGCCTACCAGGTACAGTCTTGAATGACTTCCCTGCAGGTTACTCCATTAACTTGGCATTTATTCACTTGAAAAAACTTAGCCTTATCTGTAGATTTCACCACTTGGCTCGTAAATTATTTCCAAATGGAATTTTAGAAATGGAAAGGATCTTAGAGATTACCTAGTCCAATGGGCTAATTTTACAAGCAAGAAAATTGAAACACTGAGATTGAGTGACTTGTCCATCCAAAGTTCTATATTCTCTGAGGGTTCCCACTAGACTTTTCTACAGTGTGCTCTCAGATCTACCCTCACCCTGCTGCTGTCTCGTTTGTGACCTGTGTGCTGATTACAGTTCTTGTTTATTCTCAATAAATTTGAATGACAAATATCTTCTTCCAAATTGTAGTGAAAATGATTGATTTCCACTTATTCACTTGCATATTTTGTAGGTTCTTCAACAAACTTGAGTAAGTTCTTGGTGCTAAGTACTTGGTTAGTATTTTTGTTAAAATTTCCACCAGTATACCTACTATTTACAAACGTTACCTTCCAAAGCCAAAGTCATTAAGTAAGACCACATAAAAACCACATACTTTTACGAAATATTTAACTATTTGATCAAGTGATTATGACCTCATCAGTGTGACCTACATGTTGTTCTCAAATTTATAGGATGAGTACCTTTTCTATGCAGGTATCTGAAAACGAGGCAGTCACTGCTTAGGAGGCTAAGTGTTCTGTTCCATAACCAAAGTTATAATGGTTCTATCCATCATAATGCGCCTGCCAGCTCAAACAAAAGGCGGGGTGGGTGGGTGCCCTACCTAACCAGGTCTATTCTAGGGGTAGGCTTTGGTTTTAGGAATTCCAACCCACAGGCTGGCCAGTCACCAAAAGAGACCTGGTGTCATGAAATGAGTTGGTCTTATCAGATTCTTACTTTGAGAATGTGGTTCAAATGCAGAGAGAATCAGGTAGTTAGTACAAAGCACCAAATCTAAAAGGGTGCAGAGAAATTCCGTGAGATACACACAAGTAATGTTGGGTCAGAAGATATAGGGAAGCAGAAAAGAAAGCAGATGCTCTGAAGTACACAAAAGATATAGAAAGTAAAAAGTAAGGGTAAGGAACTTAAAGGCAAATAGTAAAATGAGGGTGGAATTGAACAAGTGCGCTACATTAAGGATGTGGGTGTTTAAACGCTCATTCTCCTGCCGCTAGGATCCTACAAGTTTGATCCCCATTTGGTGAGGACTTGATAAATGTTTCTGCTACTGAAGTCTGTGAGACCTTTTTACCTTTACCACTACTCGTGTCTCCTCCTTCTATCCCCCAGCCCCGCCGCCACCAACTTCCCAAGTAGAATGAATTTGATTCTTGCAAACAAAATCAACACCGCCCCCCCCGCAATAAAGATATTTAAGAAATGAAAGGAGAACCTTTAGCTTATGGATATGTTCTACCGTAAACTCATCCAATTCTGTGAGAAGTTCTACATATGCAACCAACTGGTCCTCACTTAAGCACCTGCAGCTTTCACGTTTATCCTTCCTACGGCAGGAACACACCACCAACCACGCTTCCAGAGCATGAACCACGGTATCCCACTTGGGGGAAAACATCACAAGATTTATCTTCTCTGATATAACAAAGGACAAGGCCCCTGCTTCCCCCAACTCCCGAGGTTTCAGAGAGCCACGCTTGCCCGCAGGGGTACGCTTTTCGATGGCGGAGCCTTCGGGTCACCGTTTCGAGGCCCCCAGTGCGGGACAGGGGCTTCCCGCACCCCGAGACATTCCCGGGCATCCCGTGCCCCCGGACCTCCCAGCCCCCGCCGCCCGTCGGATCACCTGTAATTATAGGCGCTGAAATTCTTGCTCTCTCTCAGCATCGCCCGGTACAGATCTAACACTTGTGCGCGACTGGAGGCTGCCATTTTGAGGGGGGGGAAGTGGGTCCTTTTCGGAGAGGTCCCGGGTTTAACCCAACTACAAAATTCAACCTATGCAAAAAGTACGAATGAAAAAAATTGCAGTGAGCTTCGCTCTCGCCAGCGGGCCCGGGCCTCAGCCTAGGTGAGCACCTGCCCGCGCCTGGGGCCGCGGGGACCGCGCGGGGCGCCGCGAGCGGCTTCCGAGGCGGGCACAGGCGGGCTTCGGGCAGCTAAGGGGAGGTGCCCACGGGGAGGCGTTCCCGCTCGCCACCCCAGCCTAGGAGGGTCCGCGTGTAGCAGTGCTGGGAGCGGGCTGAGGGTGGGGAGTAAGAGAGACCGAGGCAAGGGCTGGGCCATCAGGCTGGCATCTGGGGGCCGCCTATGCACCGAGCCACACTCCTGGGGCACGGAGGTTGGAGGTTCGAGCACTGAGGGCGTGCAGCCCGTTAAGGAGTGTCTACGCGAACCGCCCGGGGCTATGGTGAGGACATTGAGTCTTGGAATGCTGCGCCAGGTCGCACCTCCGCGGGGCGCGAGGCCGCGTTGCCCGGGTAACCGAGCGCGTGCCTTCCGACGCCCCGCCCCCAGCCACGGCCGCCCAGCCCCTGGCCGCAGATGTCCCGCCCACTCCCACCGAGGCCGCCCTCGGCGCTGCCTGAGAAGAAGTGCGAGCTTTCCAGGTTCCCTTTGCTTAGACTTTTGTTTCGGCCGCTCTCTGCAGGTGGACTCAGAGTGCGGGCAACTCCCTGCACGTGGGAACGAGAGCGCGGGGGTCGCGGAGGTGACGGGTCAGGGGTTTTCTGGCGCTCTGGCTCTTCTTAGGGTTACCAGCTAAGGGCCCTCCCAGGCAAGGTCCTTTTTTTTTTTTTTTTTTGTCAAAATGGCAGAGCCCAGCATTCTCCAAGTGTACTTCTGAGGTGGAGGCGAGAACCTTCCCTGGGAGAGTGAGCGAGCCTGTTGCGCTTCAGATTTTGCAAAACCCCAGGTCCGGGTTTCCCCGGCGAGCGGTGGGTGAGTGCCGGTCTCGCTGCAGCATGGGCTGCGACATGTGCGGTTGGCGTAGTGGGGAGTTTCTTAGCCATGGAATTTTTCCCTTTATGGAGTATTTTTTGAGCTCTTGGGGTTTTGTTTTTGAGTCATGAGTCCCTTAAAGTTTTGTCATCTGAAAAAATGCATACAAAATGTGAGGTGGCTTGGGCTGTAGGCATGAGTGATTAATTGGGGAAACTTCAGGGATCTGAGCACTCTTGCGATCACTTCAGACCCAAGGCAAGAAGCTGAGCAAGTTTTCTCTTGAAGCTTTTCATGACTGAGTTTTCTCCCGTGGCCTTTTTTTCTGAAGTCACCGACTTTTCTGAATTACCATGTTATAGTAGTAGATAAAGTTGGTCGTTCTGGTCCTTGACGGAGGACTGGGCATAGGGAAGCCTTATCTAGTTCTAGTTACTGTGTTTGCAAAGCACTTGTCTTTGGAATCTTTCTGTATATAAACAGCGTTGAGAGGAGCCACAGTTTTCCACACCGAAACAAAGCAAGGAGTAACTTCATACGTAAAAAACAAATTGGCATTAATATCCATCTTTCTGCAATCACCGATTTATGATTTTGTTTAATTTCTTTTAAGTTTATCCGGTTTTGAAATAATACTTGTTTTATATCAAAGCAACCTCTTATTTTCAGGAACTTTAAGGGCAGGAAACACTTCTCAGTCCTTACTGCACTTGCCATATATACTTGTTATGTTACTCGTTATAATGCAATGACTTTTTTAAAAAGGCATAGAAGAGAAAACACTTATTAAAATCCTTTTATGCTCCCTATTTGATTTTTTTAAGGTCTCATACATCAGTGAGTCTCAAAATGTATTTTTACAGGGTAGACAAACTTCTGTTATTCTTGCAGGTTGATCAGGTCTTTGGGCAAGTCTTGCCTTTTGTTGAAAGAGCTTTTACTCTTTTGAGTTTATACTTTGGCATTACTTAAAGGATTCAAGACCGAGGGAATTGCATATTATTATAGAATATAATCTATAATCTAAAATCTAGAGTAGTTTTCTCTTAACATATTGTTTAGTGATATAAAATGTTATGTGGCACCTGGAAAAACTACAATGTTAGAGCAAGTTAAGAATAGAAAAACTATCCAAGTTATAAAAAAAAACCATGAAAATTGTTTTCCCTTGTTTTAAAATAGTGGAGTTTGCATTATATTTTGCTTTTATCTAGAAAATGAAGTTGGAATAATTATTACTGTATACAATTGTTTATGTGTAATTATCAAGCAATTTAATCATTAATGTATACAGTTACTGTATCTAAATGACTAATGTTTTGTAATCAAATAAAACTTTCTGAATAAATATATAAAGTTTATTTTGTTTGGGTAGCCTAATCACCTGTTGGTACAAAGTTAGGAAAATGATAGCGTTGCTGTTGATTATAAGCTGAGTCCTCACAAAAATACTTTTATTTGAAATAATTTACCATATATTAGATATTATTGCCTTGAAAGACTAATAAAAATAGTCACATTTCAAAGCGAAATCTCTACTTTTGTACATCTTCATTGCAGAGATCTATTTGAGGTTGTAAGTGATTCAGTTGGACTAGAAGCTGAGGATGGACCTCACTCAGATGTCTTTAAATATGCATTTATTCTGGGCTGAGTATTCTCTTAGCTAACGACTATAAACTAGGGACCCATCTACCATTTAGACCTCAAAATGTAAATATTTCCTTAATATTCACCTATTTATAGTTATGAAATATAGTTCTTGACCTACCTGTGTAAAATGATATATTATCTTGTATTAAATTAGGATTGCTAATGCTTTTTGAAGAGAAATTTCTCCAACCATAATAAGCAATATGATAGCAATTTACTGTCTTTAGACTTAAATATTTAATTGATCACTATGATTTTTTTAGAATCTATTTTCTCTTTTAAGAGCTTTGTTGGGCACTTTACAAACATCTCATTTCAAAAATTCTTCTAAAGTACTGATTGACTTCTTTCAGTGAGGAGTAATAGCTGCCCTCTCTTGTTCAGATTTATTGGTTGTTTACAGAAAACATTTAGGATTTGCAATGTTGACTTGTTTAGGAAAAAACAGCCTATGTTTTGCTAATCACTGGCAAAACACTATATCACTGTCTCAAGAAGTACAATACTGTTTTGTGAAGTTAACTGATCTCTTGGAAGGACAATCTATCATTGCAAAGGAAAAACCTACAGTCATTCCCTATTATGTGTTTCTTTCCTGTGTGTCTCCTTTAGTACTCACACACAGAAGAACACTTCACTTCTGATCACCAAAATGTGTGAGTTTTTTCCCCTATTGCCAAACAGTTCTCTGCAATGCTAGCTGGATGTCCTAAAATTCAACTCCAGTCTGACACTATCCAGACATACCATCATATTCCATGGGTAAGGGCTCAGTTGCATAAGACTATCTCCTGTTCAGATGCCATTCACAAGTAATAGGTCCCTAGTTTACCCACAAGTGTCTGATTTGGTTACAAATTGGAGGTTCCCATGACCTCCTCCTCAGGCTAGATTAATTTGCTAGAGCGGCTCACAAGTCAGGGAAACATATTTACCAGTTTACTAAAGGATATGACAAAGGATACACATGATGAAGAGACACATATGATGAGGACTGCGAAGCACAGAAGCACAGAAGCACAGAAGCACAGAAGCTTTTGTCCCTGTGGAGCTGGGGTGCATCACCTTCCCAGTGTGGATGTAATCACCAACCTGCAAGTTCTCTGAACCTCCTACTATCAGGATTTTATGGAGGCTTTCTCACAATAGCATGATCAATTAATAACTCCATTTCCAGCTCTTCTCCCCTCTCTGGGAGCTTCTAATCATGGCTTGGTCTTTTGGTGAGCAGCCCTCATTCAGGAGCCATCCAGGAGCCCACCCAGAATCTTCATTAGAACAAATGATGCTCCTAGTGCTCTTATCAGGAGCCTTTTGTCAGATTTGGGGTTAAAGACCAAGGATTAGAACAAGAGAAGCTTCTAGTGTTGTTGTTACTTAAGAAATAAGAGTTTTAGGAGCTCTGTGCCAGGAAACAGGAGCAGGGACATATATGTACATATATACGTAAAGATATATATATATATGTATATGTGTATTTATATATATATATGTATTTATATGTGTATGTTTAATATTATCTCACAATCTTTGATATTTGTCTTCGTTTGGACTACTATAACAAAATACCATAAACTGGATAGCTTATAAACAATAGGAATTTATTTCTCAGTTTTCAAGGCTGGGAAGTCCAAGATCCAGGTGCCTTCAGATTCAGTGTCTGGTGAGAACTTCTTGGTTCATAGACAGTCTACTTTTCGTGGTGTCCTCACATGGTGGAAGGGGCGAGGGATATCTCTGGTGCCTCTATTATAAGGACACTAATTTCTTACCTTAGGTGCTCTCATGATCTAATGTTCTAATCACCTCTAAAGGCCCTACCTTCTCATATCATTACCTTGGTTTTTAACTTAGGATTTTAACATTAATTTTGGGGGGACATAAGCATTCAGTCCTTGCAGTGCTGTACTAGAGAATATTATTAACAATAGAAGCAAAACAATTCATGATTTGTCATGGTGAATACTTTTATGTGATTTAATATTTTATAACTTTTTAATATAAAAATTTATTAGCTGAGCACAATTGAAGCAATTCAGCTGGGCAAACCTGTATCCTGTATGTGTGATTGTGAGCTTGAGTTAACTAATAATATTCAAGAGTAATAAAAGCCTGGCTTGTGTGAATTGGATTACAGTAATATTGGCAGAAAGTAATGCAGAGTTAGCTTCAATTAATGAGGATACGTTTACTGAGAGAATTATCTTTAAAACAATTCCTGGAATTCTGGAGTGTAGGAGAAAGTGAAAATGGAAAGAAGTCATGAAGTCGAAGAAAGCTTATTAGGCAGCATATTTTCTTCTTGACTTTTTGAGGGGTGGACATTGTTATCTATTTCAAATCTGTGAGCACCTTGAAACAAGTACCTGAGCACTTATGACTTTAAGCACTGTCAGGAATCCCATTTATACCTTGGCTTCCAGATGCAGTGAGGGCACCTGCAGCTTCCTGAGGGCTGGATGTGATGGTAGTTACAGTACAGCTTTTATTTGTAGAGTCCCAGTCTTCAATGAGTGGCCTGCACTCCTCACTTTT